CTTCTTTCCAAAGTGACTTACAAGTGCTTAAAACCACACAGGATTAACAGCTAGATGTAATCCAGAATGGGAGGTATCCCTTTAACAACTAAAATCATGTTCAGTGTTACAGTACAAGTGCTCAGAGATGGCAGCGGCACATGGGCAGTGACTTTAACGGTACATTTTTAGAGAAAGATTCTGCAACCAGCAGTCCTCACGTTTCTATTCACTATTTAATCATACGACAGCTCTCACACACAGGTCTACATCATTAGTGAGACTAAACTTCAGGCTCACTGTGAGAACACTACTGCACTGTTCAGCACCACGGACAGCTCCCAGGTTGTTTTCAACCACTCCAACAAGAAGCTTTTAATTATTTTCTTCTCTGACTGAGTCAGATAAGTAAAGATTGAACTTGACAGCAGTCATGGAGGCTGAGGTTTGTAGTGCAGCTGTACTGGATTGTGTTCCACGTGAATTAATCATGTTACATTGCATTTTCTCACAGGATATACACAGATATTACACTTGACTCAAACTTGGCCTCTTTCACAAAGGTTCCGAGTGAACTCAGAAAGGAGTCAACCACAATGATAATATCAAATAATAAAGGTCATATCCTTCCTCATGTATATCCTCTTATCCTTGGCAGTAAATCACATTATTCGTCACTGCTGTCCCTACGCTGTCAGTCACAGAAAAAAGTACAGCGACAAGGTAATTTAATGAGAGTTACTGAGATCTTAATTAGGCTTTTGACAGTCGAGAAGCGTGCTGCAGACTTCAGCTTTCATCTAAACTCTGCTCTCGTGTCACAAAGCTTGATCGTGATGGTGTAATTAATTTTTGAACCAGGTTACTCAGAAGACATTTTATATAACGACTTCTCCAACCCAGAGTGTGGGTCAACTTTCCTGCCTCTGCTTTTGTAAGATTTTAAACAAAACTTTTAGACTGAAACACTCAGTGTTTGCGTATTGAATTACCATCATAAATTTGTCAATACATCACATTAGATTTAATATTTTAGTTTTGTCCTTATGCGTCATGTTATATAATCAGAGTCACAGGATTCAAGCTATAGAAGTCTTTGAATAACAATTATTTTTTAAATCTCTTATGTCCATGTAACAAAATAATAAATGTAACAAAGTAATAAAATTAAGAAACAACACAAGTTTTATATTTTTGATAATATTCTTTTCTGAGAGAAGCTGCAGGAGTATCCTCACTTGATAAACCAATTATATATTTAAATTGTTGCATTCGCCAAGACGACCTCTCTCATTCTTGGAAGAGTAAGCAGCAAACTCACATGTTGTAAACTCACCAGAAAGTGCTGTATAGAGTTGGAGGTATGCACAGTTAGTTGGATTTTACATGTCGCATCCCAAAGGGGCTCTGGGTTT